AAAGGCAGGAGAGCAGCAGGCTTGGGTGGGCAGCCCCAGATCCATGCCCGTGAGAGAATGGGGAGCCTGATGCGCAGGATCTGGGTACAGGTTTAATACCAGGGTTGGTTTGTACCTGCGAAGAACTTAGGTTAAGCTCCGAGTTCAGGAAAGGAAGAGACAACACTGCCACCTAGTGGCAAGTGGGTGCACAGCACACACGATGACAGCTGATTCTGGATCCAGTTGTTTAGGCTCAACAGTTTTTAGCACCAGAATGAGTGTCTGACCCCGAGTGACAGTGACCCAAGGCAGCAGGGGTATTTGCAGGCTCCTTGTCTGTCCAGCCAGGGCACTGTCACCACCCGGGGAGCCAGCTGCTGTGTGGCAGGCACCACGCTAGACTCCAGATCTGCCTGTCTCCTCAAATCCCCTCACAATCCCAGGAGGGAGCCAGCAACATCAGCATTCCATTCAGGCAGCCCCACTTAACCTGGGGAGGGAGGTGCTTGGGGACACTATCTAGTTTGGGAGAGGTGTGAGTGAGACTGCAGAGAAGTATGGGTTTTTAATTTCTTAATTAAAAAGAAATTTTGTGTTTGAAGGAAACTTCCCTGATAGGTCTTAGGTCACACAGCAGCTCTGTAAGAGCAGGAGCTCCTGAGCCAGGCCCTCTGGGCTCCTCCTCTGCAGCTTTGCCTGGGCTGTCTGGTTGGGAGGCAGGTCAGTGCAGTGGAAAAGTACACTCTGGAGCTGGTCCACCCTCGCCAGATGCTCAGCCCTCTCTGAGCCTCAGTTTCCTCATCTGTTAGTGAGAAACACACCCTCAGGTGCCAGTGTGGAGAACATCTGATAATAAATGCTGTTTCTTTCTTCTCTCCTGGATGATTAAGTAATAGCTATTCGAGAAATGCAAATGTAGTTCAGAAAAAAATTTAAAAAAACAAAGGCGAGAAAGAGACCTGGATTCACTTCTATTGATTTTGCTAAACTGCAAATAATTCGGAATGTTCTGTGATGAATAGAAACCACTGGGTGGCTTTTGTTTCTATCTAAGAATGGGTAAAAATGGATTTCACATTCCAATGAACGTCTTCGAATCCAATTAAAAATCAGATGTTTGCTCCATTTAAGTCTTAAGTGTACCTTATGCTTAATTTCAAACAAAGTCCAGAACAAGCTGATGCAAAATGTTAAAAAGATACCCCCACCTCCTTTTAAGCCACATACAGAACAAGAAGTGGGCCCTTCTTGCAGGTGTTATGCCCTCAGATGACCAAGAGAGGGCAGAGCTACACAGCCCTTATTTGCATCTGGATGCAGGGAAGATGCAGCTCTGGGAGAGAAGTAGGGGAGATGGAGGAAAAGGGGTGGGGAAAGCAGGCGCCAGAGTGACTCCAGACAATGAGGCCAAGCTGTTGGGGGCTTGTTGGACAAGGTACCACCTGGGAGAGCTGAGGCCATGCTGCTTAGTCTGGGGCTCCCCAACTGGAAGTGGGGTGCTGCTTTGTTATCAGGGGTGCTTAGGATGCCTCAAGCACTCATGCAGTGTGCAGGGTAGGAATTCCTGAGTGAGTTACTCCACTTAGTCACCTTGTAGAGCTGTGAACAGAAGCCCGAAAACTGCCAAACACTCTTAACTGCCAAATAAGGTGATAGATTCGGGAACCTATGTTAAGGTAAGTGCAACAGTAGTTCCAAGTCTAGATGTATGAACCTTTGTGATAAGGACAGTAACTGTGCCCTTTAAATGCTTGTGTATGTTGTCTCCTTTGAGCCTCTCAGCAGCCCCCGAGGTGGTAGGTGCTATGGTTACCCACATTTACAGATGGGAAAATGGAGGCAAAGCGAGAATAGGCGGCTTGCCCCAGACCACCCAGTTGGGAATTGGTAGGGCTGGGATTTGAACTGGGCACTGGCTGGAGCCAAAACTGGTAGCATCAATCATTATGCCATTTTGCCATGCACTGCCTTTCAGAACAAAAAGGGACCCATGAACAAGCCACAGCAGGTCAGCCCCAAGTCCATTAGCACCCCTTGAATCAGAATTATCCCATTTTCCGGCAGAGCCTTAAGGGAAACTCCCTTGAATGGATAAAGATCTGGGGTCTGTCTGAATTATAGAATATGTCTGAATACGGGTTCAGCTTTGAATCCAGGGAGCTACGAAAACTACTAATGACAGCTTATTGAGCACCTACTGAGAGCCCGTCACACTGTGGAGCATTTTCCGGAAGACGATACTGTGGTCGCAGTGATTGCCAGGATCTGCTAAGAGCAAGTGGGATGGAAACCAGGCCTGGAGGCAGCGTGTACACCATAGCTACTGGGTCACCCCTGGGACGTCATCTGGGCCATAGGCAGGGGTCTCCTGGAGGGTATAAATTCCCAACACTGGGTGTAAGATCCAGTGAGGAACCTTTCTTTGTTGCCTTCAAACCAGCTGCTGTCTGATTTTGACTCCTGCTCTGCTGTGATCATTGTGCAAAGGACGACGTATGTACAGCTGGACAGTCTAATCCCTCAGAGGAAGTGGGAACCAGGCCAGTTAGACCTTCTGCTTTCAGAGGCTGTGAGAAGTAAGCAATGAGGGGTTTCCTGCAACATTCACGAGGCAGGGGAATTTCAGCTCAGTGCGGTGTAATAGAGGCATCATAAGCTCTTTCCCTTCAGCGATTTGGACTGAGGTACAGGGAAGGGAGACCCATCCATCCTTACCCATCCATATCCATTAATCTCAGTCCGTTCAGGCTGCTATAAAATACCACAGACTGGGGTGGCTTATAAGTAGCAGAAACTTATTGCTTACAGTTCTGGAGGCTGGAAATTAGAGATCAAAGTGCCAGCATGGTTGGGTGAGGACCCTCTCCTGGATTGCAGACTTCTTGTATCCTCACATGGTGGAGGGGTGAGGGAGCTCTGTGGGGTCTCTTTAATAAGGGCACTACCCCCATTCATGAGGATTCCACCCTTATGACCTAAACATCTCCCAAAGGTCCTACCCACTAACACTACCACCTCTGGGGGTTAGAATTTCAACATGTAAATTGGGGGGGGGGGG